TAAGAAACAAGTGAAAAATTGATTACATCTTGCCCCATCCTTCCTATTCCTCCCATAAGAACGTGTTGGTAGTATTTTGTACTAGTATTTTCTGTACATGGATGTGCCTGAGCCCAGTACACAGCAGCAGAGCTGGTGAGGGCAGTTAAGAATGAAGATGGGTGACACCAATAATGCAACTCAAAGTCAATCCGGGCTGATGCAATCAACTTAAGTGCCTATACTGTGTGTCAGTGACACACCGAGGTAAATAATCACCATTCCCACCTTTCATGAGCTCAATTTAGTGGGGGTGCCAAACTTGTAAACAAAAACAATAGGATACACTGTGACACACGCAGTGAGGCATGGCACGTGTGTACCAGACATAGAGGTGACACAGAGAGGGCATTCATAAAGCGTTTTCTGAGAAGACACCGGGGGACATTTCCTGAAGGGGGTACGCTGCAGAAGAGAAACCTGGGCAGGGCTGTGCAAAGGAACCACAGTGGTTTGGCAATGCTGGAGGAAAGTGTCCTTGGTGGTTAACAGGGAAGGGGATGAGAATGAGAGAAGGTCGTGGGGCTGGGGAGCTGTTTCCATGCCAGACCTCAACATGACACTACTGAGGATGATGTCAAGCTTGCCTTGGTAGGTGTCTGTAAACTCTCCTCAGCAAAACTTGCAGGCAACATGAAAACCAAGCCCTACAACTTGACAAGCACTATGCCTACCGGTATGCCTACCATACAGCTAACAATATTAGATGACAATTGTTAGTAGGAACACCAAGACTTTTTTTTTTTTTGATGACACAGTACCATTTAGTAATAAATATTTAATACAAAAACATTTTAACTGCAACCCTGTTTTCAGGAAATCTGTGTTTCTTGTGGGTTTATTTGGAATACCCTTGGAAAATATATCAATGAACACATTTTCAAAACAAATGGGTTACCCCCACAGCTAAATATTCCCACTGAGTTTATCTGACCAGGAGACAAGTGAAAGAAATCCAAGGGAGAACAGGGCTATAGAAGTTATGCTACTGTACTCCAGACCAAAGTAGTCGTTTTCCTCCAAAATGTTCATGGCAGAACTTAAGCCACTCAGTACACTGCCTTGTGCTTTGAGCTACCGCCAGCATGTGACCACCAAAACTACATCATGCCCAGCAACCTAAAGGGCTTCCGTGGCTGCTCATGTAAATCCCTGGAAAATGTCTGCATCTTCTGGACTCTTCCCTTCACTTTACACGTGTGTTCCATTCTCAAAACAAAAAACTCCCACAGAATGGGTTTTCTTCAAATTACTGGGATACACTCACTCTTCTCTTCACAAGAAACTCCTGGAAATACTGGTAACCTATAGGCCTTTCTTGACTCACGAGTGATTCTCCTCTCTTTAATAACAAGCAAAACTTTCCAGATAAAAATACCTAATTATATAAACGCATGTATATAAACTCGCTGGCCCGTAGGCAAACATATAACCAGTCCTCGTCACACAAACATGTGGCCCGTCAGTGAAGGTATATTTCCCAATGCAGCATATGGAATGGCTGAGGATGGGCTCTGAAGTCAGCCTACCTGGGTACCATGCGAGGATCATCACTGACCAATTTTAACCTCCGGAGCTTCAGTTTCCCCAACCGTGAAATGGGTAAACAATGTTTCATCAAGTAAGTACATCCATGTCTGCGTAGGCACCAGGACAGCACACTGTGACCCCCCACGTAGTGACTGATGAATAAATGTTAGCTACTTTAGCTATTTTTACCATTTCATTCCTAAAGATGAATAGTTTCACAACTATTTCCTCAAGCTGGTTCTCTCTAAAAACTGTCCCCCCTCGCTCTACATCAAAAGCGCTGGGGGGGGGGGGGGGGGTTAAATACATGCTGTCCACGCCCTACTTGAATTTGGGTTCCATTGGTCCTGAATTGGGTAGAGCATCGCAATGTTCTCTAAAGCTCTCTAGTCTAGATGCTTATAATGTGCAGCAGGATGAAGGACAAATTACAGGTCGGTATCTACGTGCCCAGGAATCCACGCGCCGGTAAAATCTGTTGATTTCTGACCTGTCCGAATCAGCGCGCAGGCCGGCCCCGCACCCCGGGTGGTTGCTGTGGCGACGAACTCGGCATTGACACCCACGTCCGAAGGCGGCCCACGGAGGACCAACTTCCACGACCCGACCGACCCCGGGCACGATCGGGACCTGCCAGGGCACACGCCCCCTCGCCCCTTCCCCCGCCGCCCCCCGCGGCCGCCCGGCCCCGGGACCGGTGCGTCACGGCGCCCTCCGCTCCCGCGCCCCGGCCCCTCCCGCCCACGGCACGTGACTCGACACGCGCCAGCTGCACGCGGGCTCCCTCACTGGTCAAAAACAGAGGCGGCCGGGCGGCGACGGGGGCGCGCGGGG